GTGGCGAACTCTGCGCAGAGCTAGTTTCGAGCAGCGCAACCCGAGGCGCGCTCAGTTTGGTAGTTTGGCAGACCGAGGTGTGCTGAGATGGGTGTGGCGGCGCAACAGGGGGAGGTGTCGACAGATCCAGCTTGGCGCAGTAACAGTTCGTGCCAAAAGGCTTCGCCGAAGGTGCGCTAAAAGCTCGCCAGCTGAAACCAGGTCTACTGTCAGTGCAGGGGGAGCGCAGCCGGTATAAGTGGAAGTTTGGCTGACCGGCGGACAGTGCTCACACGTCACCAAAACCTCACAGGCAGGTTTCCAGAATATCAGGCACATTAACAATGCAATAAATACCCCAAAAAACCACTATTCAATGCAACCATCTGCAATCAGCACATAAATGTATCTCTATATCGACTGTCCCGTCACATCTGATGTCAGATCAAAGTGGCCCCCGCCTCGCCCGGTCTGCGAAACTAGAGCCCATACTGTTAAAATTGCACTTATTTAAAATCCCCAGGACCCGATGGGTTCCCGAGCGAATTCTTTAAAAAATTTGCAGACCAGCTGTCTCCCATCCTGCTCTCTGTATTCGAGGAGTCACACGCCACTGGTTCTCTCCCTCTAACTATGCGACAAGCGATCATCTCCCTTATTCCTAAAAAAGACAAAAACCTTCTAGATTGTGGCTCATACCGTCCCATTTCACTCTTAAATGTAGACAGTAAAATCCTTTCCAAAATGCTGGCCTGCCGCTTAGAGGCGGTTTTGCCCTCAATTGTAGCCGATGATCAAACTGGCTTTATTAAAGGTCGTCACTCCTTTTTTAACATTAGACGTCTATTTAATATTCTTTATGGTCCCACTCCACCCGACATTCCAGAAATATTATTATCACTTGATGCTGAGAAGGCGTTTGATCGGGTGGAGTGGGATTATCTCTTCTATACTCTCAAACAATTTGGCTTTGGTGAAAAATTCATCTCCTGGATTAAAGTTCTGTATTCTTCTCCACTTGCAGCTGTTCGAACAAACAATAACCTCTCCTCTTACTTCCCTCTCCATCGTGGTACCCGACAGGGTTGTCCTCTGTCGCCACTCCTGTTTGCTATTGCGATTGAGCTACTGGCTTTAGTGTTACGTGGTGAAATCAATATAAAGGGAATACGGAGATATGACTCGGATAATAAGGTGTCCTTATATGCTGATGATATGCTTTTATATCTGTCCCATCCTTTAACTAGTCTACCAAATACTCTCAACCTGCTTGAAGAATTCGGCAAAATATCAGGATACAAAATTAACCTACAGAAATGTGAAATTATGCCAGTGAATGTAGCAGCTTAGCAAATTGATTTTGGTTTATTCCCGCTTAAAGTCAGTCCACAAAAATTCAAATACTTAGGAATCTGGATAACACATGCCTTTAAAGACATATTCAAAGCTAATTTTTCACCATTATTGACTCGCCTTAAGCAAGATATGGAATGTTGGAGTTTACTCCCCCTGTCATTAGGAGGCAGAATTAACATAATTAAAATGAATGTTTTGCCCAAATTCTTGTACATATTTCAGTGCATTCCCCTACACCTATCTAAATCCTTTTTCATGTCAGTGGACAATTTGGTGTCGGGATTTATATGGAACAAGAAAAACCCCTGAATACGGAAAAGGATCTTACAACAGCATCGTAAACATGGAGGATTATCCCTCCCTAACTTCCAGTTTTACTATTGGGCTGCCAACATTAGGTCTATGCTGTTTTGGAAAGATTCTCCATCTGGTGACACTACCCCTGAGTGGTTACGAATGGAAAACTCCTCTTGTGTTCATACTTCTTTACACTCACTTCTATGCTCAAAACTTCCTCTTTTGAATTCCATATGTAAATTCACCTCAAATCCAATTGTGAAACACTCTTTTAGAATTTTGACACAGTTCAGACGAAGTTTTTCTCTCAGGGATCTACCCACGTGTGCTCCTATAACAAGAAACCACCAGTTCATGCCATCAATCATAGACAGTGCTTTTCAGGAATGGGCTGATAGAGGAGTTGCCACAATAGAGAATCTATTTATTGATAATACTTTCGCATCTTTTGATCAACTAAAGCTTAAATTTAACATCCAAAACTCTCATCTTTTTAGATTTTTGCAGCTCCGTAGTTTCTTATCCACATCATTTACTCACTTCCCATCCCAACCACCCAACACCCTCCTAAATTCCATTCTGAAGCTTAATTCAGGTTCCAAAGGGAATATTGGGAACATATACTCCTTACTAAATACATATAATTTGGAACCTTTGACATCATTAAAGACTCAATGGGGGGGCGATTTGGGGTGTGAACTTCCTGAGGAGACTTGGGAAAGAGCTTTAGATAGAATACATTCCTCTTCAATCTGTTTACGACACACAGTTATCCAGTTCAAGGTCATGCATTGCCTTCATTGGTCTAAAGTGAGACTAGCAAAGTTCGCACCTAGCATTGATCCCATTTGTGATTTTTGCAGGTAAGCACCAGCCACCCTCTCGCATATGTTCTGGTTTTGTTCAAAACTAGACAATTTCTGGCAGTCAATATTTAAAACTTTTTCAGATGTTTTACAAGTACCTATTGAACTTTCTGCCATTACTGCCATATTTGGAATAACTCCACAAGACACTCACCTTAGCCGCCAGGCAAAGAATATGATAGCTTTTGCATCTTTTATAGCTAGGCGATTAATACTTTTTAAGTGGAAGGAGAAACTTCCCCCAACCTTTAAGATGTGGGTCAATGACCTTCTACACCATTTGGTACTAGAGAAGATTCGTTACTCTACAAGAGGATGTATTCAAAAATTTCATGCTACATGGAAACCTTTTTTGAGTTATATAGAGAAATTAGATGTCACTAATATTGGTGTTCTACATGACTGATCCTGTATTATGCATAATTTGAAACCCATAAGGACCACTCTCAATCACTTGCTGATTTTCTTTTGTTTACTTGTTTATCATGCTGTTTTGTTTTAATTAAATATTATTATTTTTCTTATTATTATTCTAACTGTATCACTTTTATTTATTCATATAAAATATGTACGATATGTACGTGATGCATGTAATACAAGTGGTTGCATACAAATTCAATCAATACTAGGTTGGGTGGGGGGGTGTTGTTGTTTATGTTTATATTTGTATTATTTCTAATCATCAACGCCTTTGAATTTATGTACTTTGTACACTATTTCTCTTTGTACAAATATAAATAAAAAGACTTGGAGCAAAAAAAAAAAAATTGCACTTATTTTTCTTGAGACATCTGAGGATGTTCATCTGTTTTGTAAAAAGATGATCGTCTACAGAATGTACTTGTAATTCTTTAGACAATGTAAAAATATTGGAGTCGATGGCACTTATGGTTATTGTGCGATGGTTTTATGAGATCAAATTGGGCTGTATGTGGCCCATTAACTAAATTAGATTGACACCCCTGGTATAAAAGCAGATCATGAGATATATCCCCCCCAACTAGGCATTGCTGACTAAATATAAATCATGATTATGTTACATGGGTCCAAAAATGTCTGGAACCTCTATCAGATTAAACAAATTACATCCTCATTAAGACAACAAAAATCTGTCTACACTGAATGATGGAATCCTGTCATGGCTTTATTAATACAGTGAGGTTTATCATGCAGTAGGGCTCTAATATTCCCCCCACACACGTATCACATACATAACATTATATCTCATCGTCTGTGGAGCAAGTTTTGCACCTGGACTTTATCTGTGTGAATATAATACTGAGTAGACAATTATTAAAAATATTTTTCATTCCCTTGTTTCTTTTCTTGTTATTTTTACTTTTATTCAAATATTTTTTCTAATCACTGGGTTTGACTATATTGACACTGAAGTGGATGTCTATGGCCGTTTCTTCCTTTATGTATGTGATTTTTTAATATAATGTGTACAAATGTTTTATACAGCTGGGAAAAAAGGAAATGTTTACACTGTATTGTTCTTGATGAAAGCGAAATGAACATTACCTTAAAAAAAGTTAAGAAATTAAGTTACAAAAGTTGTAAAAAATTAAAAGAATTATGTTTTTAATTAAAAGTTAAAATATTAAATAAATAGGTAATTCAAAAATAATTTTAAAAAAAATAAAAAAAATATAATAAATTATGTTACTCCGCTCAAATGTTTTCAGAAAGATGTTTTCGCTTATTGTTTCACTGTAATACAAGATTGTTTGTTGCTAGTCGGCCGTCGTCGTGACAAGTTCACAGAGCATGCTCTTAGTTGACGGTCTTCTACCTCTTGAGTAAAAGCAATTGCCAGAGTCCTTTTTCTCTGTTTGGTCACGCAGCACCAATATTAAAAGTACTTGCATCTTTCTACTGCATAGACAGTCCAGTTTTATGAAAAGCCCATCTTTCCAGCAGTGAAATACTTCTTCAAGGAGCAGTGGGGCAAGTGCTTTGAGGACATTTCTCCTCCTCTGAGGTTACATACATGCTGCTCTACTTTGTTGGTGAAGGTTACTGGGGCTATGTGCAGCCTTAGGAGAGAACCTGCAGACACGAGTTCAGGCTGATCAGGTTAGCGCCAATGTTAACTCTCCTGAAACCATGTTAAAAGCATGACGGCTCTTTGTTGTACAGCTTTCAATAGAACATTCTCTCTGTCAGAAAGTAAAGCTGTAAGTTTGCACTAATTATGAACAGAACGCCGTGCCGAGGACATAACGAGATCAGGGAACAACGAAGGAGGTTGGAGGCATAAAAAGAAACATGCCGTAATGAGAGCTTTAAACATAGAAGGTCAAGTATAATCAAAAACGATAGACATTGGAAGAATACGTGGGAGAAAGACGGCAAATCGGGAAACAAGGACACAACAGAAAAGACCAAATAAGGAGAGTGCGTAGTACACACACACAAAAAAGAAAAGGAAGCCAGCAAGCTTTCTATACAAATGTAGATGGCTTTGTATGGATTTCTTTTAATGTATTTGAGTCTTACGTCCATGTCATCGCAGAGCAGGGACCCCGATCCATACTGCAGCCGACACTGATGGGCAGCGCCGTACAGAACCCCAGGAAGCACCGAGTTCAGAGACAGCTTATCCTTCAGCGGGGCATCATCAAGGCACCAGCCCCAACCGCGACTGTGAGGGGGTGGATGGCACAAACAAGAAACAGAGTTTGGTGAGCAAAGTTTATAAATGGTATTTTCGTTATATACACACACACAATACCATTCTGCAACAGCAAAATAGAAACATGTTTCTACTCCCATTCCACTGCGGACTGTGTCAACAATGAAAGCTTCTACAAAGACTGAAGTATATTCTGGAAATACATTTTTTGGTGAACACAGAATGTAATCAGAAACTCTGTTTACAAGAACACTCTGAGGGACCTTTAAGACAACTAAACAATGAAACAGCTCAGTAAGGCCAGCCGACAACATTCCACTGGCTCTCTATATAGCAGATCTACTATATAAAAACAGTCAATTTCAGCTCAAACATGACAGGAGTTGTGTATTTTGGCACAGTGTGCTGGCATAAAAAACTGACTGGCTTGATGGAAACGCTCAAATTAACGGTTAAATTTAAGACTTTAGGAGGCCGATACACAAAGAGGGGATGAGCAGATCAATATGCTGCGCACAGCTCTGCAAGGAAATTAAATTTTACCAATTTTAAATAGTCAAATTTGCGGTAAAGTTGCGGTGACTAGACAAAATTGCAAGGTTGGACTGAATTATGAAGCAGATGCATGGGTGTAGACACTATTATATCTATGTCTGATAGCCACAGAGGCAGTTTGTGTTATGATGTAAATACCTGAGTCTGAATCAGTATTTTACGATTATCTGTATCTGAAATCATTAAATCATAGACTAAAAATGATGGATGTAGCTACCCTGATTATGGAAAACAAGTGTCACACGCTCTGGCTCCATATGCATTTATTTTGTTTTCATGATGTTTCAGACTTTGGGCACTCTTCAACATCAACAAGCATATTGTGACACAGCTACACTGATCTGTTATATGGACCACACCTCTGTCACACACCTGATAATGATTCAGTGATCATGCTACACGATTACGTTGAGCAGTCACACACAGAGTCACACAGCTGACAGTGGTTTGATAATCATGCTACAGCATTAGGTTGAGCAAAGAAACAATTTTGAGGCCCTCAACAAAACCAAAATGTTGTCAATCACGTCATTGAAACTAATGATAACAGCCACTGCATATTAAACCACATTTCAATACAATTTGAATTTTTCTCACCATATTAAACAATGTTAAAATACCTAACGTTGAAACAAATTACTTATAGATTCATAGCAAAAGCTGAGGCATCAGCTCTAAAGGAACATCATGAACAACTTTCATTATATATCCAGCCATCACCATCTTGGTTTTTTGGAACCTGAAGTGTCTGTATTAGGGGTAAGAGGCCAGTGCTGTGGAGGAGCAAGGGGTGGATCTCATCTGCAGACAGCCTGTCACTCAAAGTGGCCACACCCTTAATTATGCACAACTTTAAGCCTCAATAAAATGTAAACAGGTGAATTATGTAAAAATGTACCTCCTGTACAGTTGCCATACATGTTGAAATTATCTATAGAGACCAAAACTGTTTTTCATACCAGGCTGTAAATGTGTTTATTACTGCGGTACAGTTGAGCTGGGTCTATGTGGATTGACTGGCTCTGGAGCCTCACGTGGCTGCTCAAAGCTTTTAGCACTCACTTGTTGGCTTCACTCTTCAGCCCTGGACGTTGCCGCTTGCATCAAATGCAGGCGTACATTGTATATGATTGTCAATACCCTCTCTCCTCTCACAAGTTGATGACCAACGCACACAGAAAAGATGGAAACTCATTGAGACTAGTCCAGGAAAACCAATATGTGACATTGGCCACATATGTCTATCAAATGTCAACCTTCAAGGTCGTGATCCTTTCACAACATTATATACTCACTGGAACATCTTAAGTGATGACACACACAACAAATGGAGTGGAAATATGTACAATTGTGCTGCAATAAAAAGCCTCTTCTAAGTACTTTGCTGTCAGTTACTGAGGATCAGTCATTCTCAGCATGCTGTGGAAAAGTCTAACATGTAAATAAAAAACAGAATACAATGATTTGCACATCTTTTTTCACCTATTGAATTGAATCAAGTACAGAGACAGGATATATAATGTTCAAACTGATAAACTTGTTTTTGTAAAGCTATTCAGTCCCATTTTTGACCTCCTTGCAGCTACTCAAGCTGTCCAGCAGTGCAGTTATTCTTCTACTGAATCATCTGCCAGCTCATTTATATCTTTGGCTCTTTAGCGATGCAGCCATTAGTGCTGTAGCATGGCTGAATTTAAAATAGTTTGAACACAGTGTGAAGTGGTTGTGACATTAACTTTGGGGGAAAAACAGTGTTATCATTTTTGATTGACCTCCAGAGGATGAAACACGGCAAAGGGCAGCATTAAAATTATTGAATAAGTGTCTCATTGTAGCCTCCTATTACCAGAGCCAATGACAATTAAATCTGTCAGTCACGATAATTCAAAAATTCAATAATGTCTCACCTCAGGGACACAGACGAACTCAGTGAAATGAACTCAGTAGCTATCTATAAACTGCATAGTTCAGGTCTTTACAACACTAGGGCCGACACAATATCAGATTTTCACTATATGATTATCGAGTCACAAAAATTCATCCTAACGTTACTATGGCACAAAATTAGCAAATGCCCAAGTATTCATATGAGAGCTCTAATGGGACTGTCATGATCCTGTGGTTAGGGGTTGGGAATCGAGAACCAGTTCGAATTAGGAACCTGTTACGAGTTTTAATTAATGCCGCCATGTTTTTCTGACATCTAACTCTTGCGTCAATGCTGCTGTAAACTTGCAACAAGAAGAAGAAATGGCTGAGAAGAGGAAGCAGTCCAAAGCGTGTCTTCATTTCACAAAGAAAGACAACAACAGTGCTGCTCTTAATGTCTGTAAAATGATCATTTCAAGGGTGGAAACTAGGGGTGGAGGAAAAAATCCATACAGCATAGTATTGTAATATGTGTGGATCCTCTGGGGATTCCCACCACTTCTTTCTAGGGCTTAAATTAGAAGAACTCCATGTGTTTGACACTGAAGGCCACTGCTTCCCAACTGAGCAGCATGTCCATTGCCAAGGGGTACGCAGGTTTAGCAGGTTTTTTCTTTGACTAAGAAAACCTAAATGAAAACAAATTTCTATCATTTCATCCATTTTAGATGATGACATACAGACTGCCTCCACACTGTGACAATACAGACATAATAAAACAGCTGCACTGACAATGGAGAGCTGTGAAGGCCCACTTTTTTCACACAGAAAATTAGTTGGGAATCAATAAGGGAATCCATAAAGCATTGGACCAGTGATAGCACTGGTATCAATAGAGTCATATTGATTCCCAACACTACTGTAGCTGTGGTGGTTACATAAATGTGAGCTTTATGATACCATCCATCCATCCATCCACTTATCCGAAGCCAGGTTGTGACAGCAGCAGGCCGAGCAAAGCATCCCAGATGTCCCTCTGCCCAGCAACACTTTCCAGCTCCTCCTGGGGGACCCCAAGGCTTTCCCAGGCCAGATGAGATATGTAATCCCTCCAGCGTGTTCTGGGTCTGCCCCGGGGCCTCCTACCAGTGGGATGTGCCCAGAACACCTCCAACGGGAGGCGCCCAGGAGGCATCCTGATCAGATGCCTGAACCACCTCAACTGACCCCTATCATGGTATTGATTTCTATTAAATTCATGACCTTATATGGCCAAGCTGACATAAAGCTGCACTACCAAATCTGCCAAGTGAAGATGACTGTGTCAGAGATGTTTATTTGCTTTGGTCAATCCACGCAGTCACCCTGTACTGACCTGTGATAAAATAAGATGATGAATCATGGAGAGTGCTTAATGACAATTAAGTCACATTCACAGACAACACGACCATGTTACTGAGTTTTCATTAAGAAGGAAAAGGGGGAGAAATTCTGACTTGTTCCAGAAGAGTCAACTTGAGTTTTGGCTTTCTGTACTGCACACCTGTGAGGAAAAACAAGCACCAGTGAAGCATAGCAGGGACAAACTTCAGTGTGCAGATGTTCTTAGTCCTTTGGCATTTGCTGGAAATGAACATTAAGAGATCACCAATGAATTTAAGGTCTGGCCTGAGTAATGGTGTAACTCTTTAATAATTCTGCTACATACTACATACTGTGTGAGAAGCTGCAGTCAAATCACTGAGCTGTGCTGCCACTAACAAGACACAAATAACTTGCACAGGATGTTTTCCTTCATTATGCACGTACAGCGGCTGTTGTGAACATACTGTACTCATATTTTTCCTTTACCATCAAAGTGGAAAGAAATGCCTTCCATATGTGACATGTAGATAAAGAACATCATATTGTGATTACTGTGATTTTGTGCATTTTAACTACGCCATCCAGACAACAGCAAACATTCAATAACTATTTAAACCTGCAGTAACTGTTTTCTGGCCTTTCCTAGGCAGCACAACAAATGGTTTATCTCGGCATCAGGACGACACATTAGCACTGAACTGAAGTTGTGTGTGTGGACACTGAAGAATGTAAGTCTGATATTTACTCCTCTTTAAAAAAATACTTCACCTGCAAAGTGACCACTTGTACATCATTAACTCACCACATGCTACGTTACATTCATAAGGAAAGCTGTGTTTTTCTGCAGTCATTGGGGACCATGGTTAACAACTTAAAACTATATCAAAACACTCGTTTACAAACTCTCACACAACTCTTGCAGTATAACCCACGTCTCATTTATCCAGCTGTATGCTCAGTACTTCCCAAACACATGCATTTTTGCTAAAGCGTTACAATATACAACACTTCTGCCTATGAGTAGCGTGCCCTGAATATGCGCGAGCATGTGTGTGCGTATGAGCCCCGTTTGAGCACAGTTCTAATGCGCTGTGCATACGACTATTTGTACTGACATACACTGTAATAGTGCATGTGTTTGTGCAAGTGCAGGTACTGCGCACACAAGTGGATAAATGAGACCTGGACTATACTGCACGAGTTGTGTGAGAGTTTGTTAA